GGGTCCCTTTTCTTTAGGATGAGGGTGCACAATTCAATCCCAACATTTAAGCCTGGGGCTGAATAAAATGGTGATGGAAATGAGAGCTTCAGGCAGATAAAATGGACAATTGACAATTTCTCTGGGCACTCACAATTTGTCTCTGGAACCACATTTCCCCTTGGCAATTCAACAAGCCGAGCAGCTAGTTTAGAGGAGTCCAAGGTATGGGATTATCCAGCTGCAGGGCCTTGGAAGGACAGAAGATCGGAAGGAAAGGTAACAGTAGGTGCACGTGGTAAAGCTGTGAGCTGCAGGGGAGAGTCACAGGTGGGATAGGGACCTGCAAAAGCAATAACAGTTTGAAAGAAGCATTTTTAAAGATCAATCCAAAAATCACTCAGGAGGCAGACAAGATACACGTTTAAGAACGATGGAAATTGTGAGAAAGGCAGGTTTGAGTTAAATCCCGGAGAATTTTGAATGCCAAGCTAATGGAATCCTGGGAAGGTGGTTGAACATGGAAGTGACACCATTAGAGCTGTGTTAATCAGACTTTGCTCCCAAGAGAGCAGCTGTAGGGCTCTTGTGCCACTGCGGGGGAGAGATACCAGACCAGGCAACTCCACCTCCCAGGGGCCATTTACCATGGAACCTACTGTGGCTTCAAAGTCGGCAACAGACTCTCTCTCCCATTAAGTCCTGCTCGCATTTTGAATCTCTCTCTCTCTCCCTCTCCCTCTCCCTCTCCCTCTCTCTCTCTCATTCAGAGAGCCCAGCCTTCTATAGCCACCAGAGAAAAGGAAGGGGTGAATAAAGAGCACTTGGCAAGAGATTGAATGTGGTGGCAAGAAGTCAAAAGTGCCTGAAGCTTTAAGCCCCAAGATAAGTGGAGATTTGAAGTGGCCATTAACAGAATTAGGTATAAAGGGTGAAAGACACGTTTGGGAGAGGAAATTTTAAGTGGGACTTTCTGAGCTCCTGGGACTGATGAGACATCCATGTGAAGATGTCCAGAAATCATCAGATACACAGGAAAATTTGTTTTTAGTACAGGAGGTAGGAAGCACATACCAACAGTAATGATTTTGCTAGGTGCTTAACAACAAGTACCTTCATGGCAGACAATTGTTATCTCCCATTAACTCCAACATACCCGTTAAAGCAAGTGTCCATCACAGCATTGTATTATGGTTGTGGTGGGAAAAGGTTACAAAACGAAGTTTCAAAAACTCCTTTCCCCTTATCTAGGAACTTGAAGTCTTCTACTTCACACATATGAAATCAGCAAAAGCAAGACCGGCAAAAAACCAAGAGCATGTGCTCTCTGTCATTCCAATTGGTCACTGTTAGCCAAGTCCAGTGCCTTGTGGTTGTAGGGCTGCGGGCCCTGTTTCACTACTGACTGCCAAACTGGGACCGCTCCCCAGTCTTGGCTATGGGACCTGCTCTCTGTTCAGTCACACATGGAGTGTTTCTCTCTCCTTTGCTTCTTCTCACATTTTGAACATTTTTCTTCAGGGAGAACCCCGTGTACTTTCTCTAGTTTATCCGATTAGATCACACCGGACCTTGATAATCTCTAGATCTTAAAAAAAAAAAAAAATCTTCTGACTCCAGCTTGTCTTCACTCTTTTCAGAGGACTGGAATATTAGAGCTCAGTAGCTGAGTACTTGCCTAACATGTTTGAGACTCCGTGTCCCATCCCCAGTACCTAAATAAATAAATAAAATTTGTTCAATTGCTTCCCTGTAGAATCTAGATTAAATGTTTGGTTTAACAGCCAAACAAAGATATGTGGGTACCACAAGGACCAAGAGTCTTTGTAAAGGGTGGCATTATACAACCCTACCTTCCACAGCAAGAGTGGGATCTCTAGGAGGCGCGTGGGAACCCCTCCATGTTGAGAAATGCACCGATGAAGGACCATTAGTCTAGTGGGCTCAAGACAAGCTTCCTAAAACAAGCCCATTTTAGTTTTGTTGGGAAAGGGACAAAATCCAAACAGTTTACATGAGGACGCCAACACGAACAAGTGCATGGAGCGAAACTGTATTCTGGAGAAGTGGGCAGGCTGGCTCAGTCAGAAAAGGAGGTTCATGTGTTCCATGTGGTGTTGTTTGCGGCAGGAAGTGAGACAAGGTCTTTCTATAGCCTGGGTTGTCCTTGAAATCACTATGCTACATAGCCCTGGCTGCTGTCACACTCATGGCAGTCTTCGTGTTTTAACCTCTTGGGTGCTAAGATTGCAGGTGTGAACCGTCATACCCAGCGTGGGGGAGGTTCTTCACGGAGAAGTAATGAAACCTCAGCTTGGAAAATCGAGAGGGTTTTTTTTGTTTTTTTGTTTTTTTTTTTTTTTTTTTTACAAAGTTGATTAAATGTCCTTAAATGCAAGGATGGGGGATTTGGACTCCATAGGCAGCTTTTGTGAGAGTTTGAGCACAAGAGAGGAAGAGGTGCAGAATAGACTATTGAGAAGCACCATGCAAGCTGGGCATGGTGAAAAATGACCGTGACTGTAGCACTGGGGAGGCTGAAGCAGGAGGAGTGCAAGTTCAAAGCCAGCCTGGGTTACATAGTGGGATCTGGAAGAAGAGAGGGAAGGGGCCAGGGGCAAGGGGAAGGAGACAGCGAAAGAGCAAGGGAGCTCTCCTGGGGGTGTCCATGAAATGGTTAATCTATTGACTGGATATCTGTCTGAAAGTAATGACAAGATACAGTAAACATGTTTATGTTTTCTGTGGGCTTGTCTATTTTTTTAAAGTTCCTTCTCTTTCTTTCTTGGACTATATAATCAAGATAACTCAAGGATTCAAAGCAAAGTAGTTTAGTTTGCAAGACCAAGACACCTGTCTGAGAATAGTGTCCTATGACTGAGGAGTGGAATTGCATGCTGGGGACACTGTGTCCCCAACACTCCTCATCAAAGCAAGGTGTCATACCAAGCAGCAGCAACACAGATGTTTCCCACAGATGATTATCAGGCTAGAACATATTACCTGCAGCACAGTGAGCCGAGCATTGTCTCACCCCCATCTCACTTTGGCATCCTGAAGAAATGCCCTCTTCACAACCAAGGGCTCCATGCTGTCTGAGAGCAGAGGGCCATTCACTCACTCTCCTGGATGGAACCACTGTCTTTGATCAGAGATGGGAATTGAATGTTTCTCATTTGCCCTGCCTGCCGCAGTTCTACAGCTTAGCAGCTGAACTTCCTTAGAGCTCAGGGCTAAGACTGAAAGTTTTCTGAATGAGAAGCAGCACCCTCCACATCTGTTAAAGAACTCCCAATGGTTTTTTAAAATTATCTTTTGCTATAGACTTGATAAATGATTCTTTTGATGATGTTTGTGTCTTCAATTTTTTTTTTACATTTACTCAGGGTGTGTGTGTGTGTGTGTGTGTGTGTGTGTGTGTGTGTGTGTGCAGGAGCATGGCTGAGATGTGTTGGAAGCGAGGGGTATTTGGATATGTGTGTGAAATTCTCAAAGAATAAATAAAAATATTATTTAACTGTTTTTAAAAGGTTTGCATTCTTATATAAATTTGCAGCGTATATATTTCCCAAGCTCAGATTTCAGTTCCAACAGCATTTTCTATTCAAACTTGTACTGAAAGTTGCTAATCTGCAATGCAGGGACATGCTGCAAGGTAAATGTCTTTGATTCCCCGCACTGAAGCAAAAGAATGAACACAAGAGTATGAATGAGAGCTGGGGAGATAGCTTAGTGGTTGCGGAGGCCCCAGGGTTCAACACCCACAAGGCAATTCACAACCTTCAGAGGTCCTCTGACGCCCTCTTCTGGCCTCCATGGGCACTGCACACATGTGGTGCACAGGCATACATGCAGGCAAAACACTTATACACATACAATTTTTTAAATTGTTTAAACTAATAGAATTGCTTAAATGCCTTCTTGGGGATTAATATGCTTAATTAAAATAATATCCTGTGGACTGATACAGAGATATGGTATTATTTATCTCTGTGAAAAAATTTCAAAGATCAAATGCACAAATCTTATTACAGATAAATATCTGCAGCTGAATTTACTGATCAGAAATACTCACTTTGAAACCTAATTATGAGAAATATCATTTTTATATAAAAGTATGCCATCTTTCTAGTTAGTAGACTTGCATTATTAAATCTGTATATTAAAGGAATAATGTTATATTTTGAAATTTTTCAATAAAGCTCTTACATAAATCAATTTTCTCTTATATAAATTCCTAGGCTATGTTCTTGATCTTGCTTTTTGCCCCTCCAACCCTAAGGGAGTCATTCTCTATTTTTTTTATAGAATACATTTGCTCACTCCAGCACTAGACTAAGCCACATGAGGAGTGAGAGCACTTGTAATTGATTACTATAGCACAGTTCCTAACACCGAACAGATGCTCAACAAATATTGAATAGTATGGAATGAAAGGAATGATATTGGTCTAAGATCTAAGGATCATCTACTGTGATTCTCGGGCTGAAGAGATGGCTCAGCCATTAAAGGCTGGGCTCACAAACAAAAATGTAAAGGGTTATGACTCTCTAAGACGTTCATTAATATTTCCCTTATACTTGGGGCTAGATATGTAACTCAGCAGGAGAGTACTTTCCTAACATGCACAAAGCCCCGGGTTCGATTCCTAGCAACCCCACAAAACAGGAAGAATTGTCTTGATTTGTCTGTGGTGCTTGCCCGTATTTCCAGCACTGGGGAGGCTGAACCGGAGGAGCTGTGAGTGCAAAGCTAGCATGAGCTAGACGGGGAGCCTGCAGCCAAGGCTGACAATCTGAGTTATAGTCGTGGGACCTACCTGGAAAAACGCATGCGTGCGTGCGCGCGACACACACACACACACACACACACACACACACACACACACACACACACACCATACATACCATACACTAAAATAAATAAATATTTTGTTAACGTTTTTTAAAATTGGAAAGTCCGGTCATAGATCCAAGGCTCCTGTCTAATTGCATTCTGTATATTTATGTTTCTGCCCATAGAGTAAAGCTTCTGTCAACTTTGTTCGGTGAAGCTTCTTTTTGCAGTGGGAAGTGATTACTGCAGAGACTCATACATGATCAAAATGCTGAAGGTAAGAGTCTTAATGTTGGCGGCTCAGTCCTAAATGGAACATCTAAAACACCCACTTCAGAACCAAACATCCCAAAAGAGAGGGTAAGAATATAAGAGTTGAAGGAAGGGTTGGGGGTGATTGGCATGCTTTTTCTGGGCATGATTTAGCATTCTTTTGAACTCCTGGCAGCTGTGATTACTTGCACAAGATTGGACCCCTCACCATCCTGTCCTGGAGGGAGAAGGGACTCATGAGACCTCACCCTTTCTTGAGGAGACGTCAGCAGTTCATGGTTGCTGAAAGAGAGACCTTTTTTCCAGTGGTGTAGCCACTGGTGAGTTGCTCATACTCTTATAAATAACCTCTCATGTACACTCCTGTAAGTAACTCTGGGAAGAGGGAGCGGACAATGTGCATTGGTGTTTTGCCTGCATTTATACCTGTGCCCCATGAGTGTGCCTAGTGCCCTTGGAAGCCAGAGAGGGTTTTCAATCTCCCAGGACTGGAGTTACTGATAGTCATGAGCTACCATGTGGGTTCTAGGAATCAAACCCAGGTCATCTGGAAGAGCAGCCAGTGCTCTTAACCACTTACCCATCTCTTTACACACACACACACACACACACACACACACACACACACACACACACACATCAATAAGCTTGTAAAAAGAAGAGTCTTATATTTTATAATACATCTTCACTGAAGGGCTGGTAAACTGCTTTTAAAATTCCAGTTGGTATATATCTTGTGTACCTCTAGTCACAAACTCCTGCACTCTTCAGTGAAGTCTCTCCTTAAGACAAAACATTTCAGTGCTGATACTTGGATTATTGAAGTTACTCAATGTGAATTGAGTTGATGTGTTTATTCTGAGTTTCCCCAGGCATCTATCCTCCAGAAAGAGAATGTTGGGAGACTTTCTGGGTTGGAGAAGGGAGGATGAAAGATGGCCCCTCACACATAGGACAAACAAGACCAGCAAGATTCCTCTAATCACAAATCATTTACCTGATTAAGGCTTAGTATCCAAAACATATTAAGAACTCTGGGCTCAATGATAGAATCCTTGCACCAAATTCATGAGGACCTGGGTTCGATGTCCAGCACTGCCAGAACTCTTACAAGTCAATAATAAATTGACTAATTAAAAGTGGGCAAAGTATGTGAGCTGACATTCATCCAAAGAAGATATATAAGTGACCAATAGGCATATGAAAAAATGCTCAACATCATTAGTTATCAGGAAAATACAAATCAATACCACAATGAAACACCATTTCATACCCACCAGGATGGCTATAATATAAAAGTCCGACAATAGGGGCTAGACAGACAGCTAAGCTGTTAAGAGCACTTATTGCTCTTGCCAAGGGCCCCAGTTTGATCCCCAACATCCGTATCAGGCAGTTCGCAACTGCTGGTAACTCCAGCTGCAGAGCAGGGCATCTGAGGCACCCTTCTGGCTTCCACAGGCATCCATACACGTGTGCACATACACACATACACATACATAAATAATCAAACTAAATGACAGAAAATAATTATTGGCAAGGTTGGAGAGAAATAAGAATCCTTGAACACTACTGATAGGAATGTAAAATTGTATGCTGCCTTGAAAAACTCTGCTATGTTCTCAAAAGATTAAATACAGACTTGCACCTGATCTAGCCATTTTGCTACTAGGTATATAACCAAAAGAATTGAAAATGGCCATCCTGATTATGACCTGTACACACATGACCATTGTAACTTGTATGTAAATGTCTACTGCAGCATTATCTATAATAGCCCAAAAGTGGAGACAAGGCAAATGACAACCAGTAATGCTCAGATAAACAACCAATAAAATACTATTCAACCATGAAAAGGAATCACCTTCTATAATATGGAAAGGAGGCAGGCAATGACTAATAATAGGTATGAGATTTCCTTTTGAAATGATAAATATGTTCTGGAATTAGACAATGGTATAGGTTCCACAACTTTGACTAAACTTACCAAATTGATTTTTTTTTTCTGAGACAGGGTTTCACTGTGTAGACTTGGTTGGCCTGAAACTCGGCAAGGTCCACCTGCCTTTGCCTTTTGAGTATTGGGGTTGAAGACCTGCAACCATGCCTGCCTATTAATACACTTTCAAAAAATGAATTATATATTATTTGAATTTAGTCTTTTAAACTATTTATTTATTTTCTCTCTCTTTCTGTGTGTGTGTGCACATGTGCACACACCACAAGTCAAATGACAACTTGAGAGAGATTGTTCTTGCCTTCCATCATGTGGGTGTTGGAGGTGAAATTTAGGCCACCAGGCTTGGTGGCAAGCACTTGTATCCACTGGGCTTCCTCAGTGCCCAAGTTGAATTGTATCTTTATTAAAAATGAATTTAAGTTGCATCTTTTTAATAAAGAAGTTTCATCTGGTCACAGTGATACAGGCTTGCAGTCTCAGTACACAGAAGACAGAGAGAAGGGGATTATAAATTCCAGGTCACCCTGTACTAGATAATGAAACCCTGCATTAGAAAGAAAAAGAAAGGAAGGAAGAAGAGAGGGAAGGAAGGAAGGAAAAAGAAAGAAAGGGAGGGAGGGAAGGAGGGAGGGAAGAAGAAAGGAAGGAAGGAAGGAAGGAAGGAAGGAAGGAAGGAAGGAAGGAAGGAAGGAAGGAAGGAAGGAAGGAAGAGGTGGAGAGATAGCTGAACAGTTTAAGAGTGCTAGCTACTCTTCCAGAGGAGTCTGGTTCTATTGGACCCACATGGCAACTCACAACCTTCTGTAATGCCAGTTCCAGAAGATCAAAGCCGCCTTCTGGCCTCTGTGGATACCAGGCACGAACAGGGGGCATAGACATATATGCAGGCAAAACACTGGTACACATAAAATAAAAATATATAAATTTAAAAAAGTAAATTGAAGAAATAGGGCTGAAGGATAGCTCAGTGATAGAATGCTTGTGTAGTATGTGTGACATCCTATATTTAATCCCCACTACGGAAAAAACAAAAAGTTTCTACTTTATTTTTTTAAAGATTTATTTATTTATTTACTTATTTATTTATGTATACAGTGTTCTGCCTGCATGTTTGACTGAATGCCAGAAGAGGGGACCAGATCTCATTATAGATGGTTTTGAGCCCCCATGTGGGTACTGAGAATTAAACTCAGGGCTTTTGGAAGAGCAGCCAGTGCTCTTAACCTCTGAGCCATCTCTCCAGCCCCAAGTTTCTACTTTATTATTACTCATTTATTAGGTACTGAATACTGCCAATAAAAATCAAAATATTTACAGGTACATCGAAAATCTAGGTGATATATATATATATGTATATGTGTGTGTATAATGTATAGTCCTTTATTGTGTTGGATTTTACATAAATTCATGAATATTTATGAACCAGAGAGATGGCTCAGTAGTTAAAAGTGTTTGCCGCTAAACCTGAGGACCTGAGTTGCATCTTTTGAGATCCACAAAGTGGAGAGAAATAATAGAATCCAAAAGTTGTCCTCTGACTTCAACACACACACACACACACACACACACACACACACACACACACACACACACAAGCGCAAGCGCACTAATAAA